TACACACCTTGAAGAACCACATGTCAACCTCAACACTCGTGGTCGACCGAGGAAAAATGACACCAGGCGTGATCGTAGTTATTTCGAGCATGTGAACCGTCAACACACTCAACGTGGTGGTGACCTAGAACCAGGTAATATTAAAATTCTATATGTAATATTAAAATATGTAAACTTAATACTTGTAGCTTTACTAATAATTTATCTTTTAATTTTGTGTTGTAGATCCGAGTGACATTAGTCAATGCAGGTATTTGAACTTGCTTCCAGGCCCAATGTTGTCGTACATTTCGTCTTGGAAGGATGTCATTGGTGATGGGAACTGTGGCTTTCGTTGTGTCGCCAACTTCTTCTTTGGCGATCAAAATCTGTGGTTTGACGCTCGGGAAACAATAGCGAACGAGATCGCTGGTCATCCTGATTTGTACGAACGAATTTACGGGCTTGCGCGACTTTGGACGAACGTAGTGCGTATTCGATGGAATGGTGGGGCTGTCGGGGAGCGGCATTGGATGGTTACAATTCAAGATTTATTTCCTATTGCTACGTGGTTCAACGCAAGGGTGATTTGTCTCGGGGTAGGCCTAGTACCAACTTGCTACTACCCACGCATCACAGTCTTACCGCTTAGGGCACGCAATGGGGTTCGGTCACCGACTCGAGAGTTTGTGATTGCTACAGTTGGTGGATCACATTTCATCCGTCTTGACCTTGTACCTGATTCACCTCTCCTGCCGATCGCCGGTTGGTGGACTGAACACCACGAGGATAGTGTTAATGGATGGGATCAACAATATTAATTGAGAAGGGACATGTGGGATGCATTAGTTAGGTAGTTTGTAATGGATGAGATCAAAACCTGTACAGCCACTGCATGTAACCAGGCGCAACCGAAGGAGCTGCAGCACTAAGCCTGGTGAGGGCACCTAAAACTACACTCTGAGATAACCCAGGGACAAACCTCTTCCACATCACATCTGTTATCTCGGTCGGGAAGTCTACCCGATACATCTTCAAGTTAGTCGGCCTCTTGGCCTTCTCTGGCCTGATGATCTCGCGGGGAACGCCTTGCACAAAACCAAGCTAGCGCACCACTCTATCAGGAATGTACGACTCAATGATTTTACGGTACTGGATGCAGCCAATGAATAAAGTGGGGGGCACTCGTAATGCAGGATCAGCTCCGTACGGTAGCCAGTTCACCTCACGGTCAGTAAGCGCATCAATTCTAGTACGAAAAGATAACAGGCGTTCCAGGTTCTTGCTAGGACATCCCGCTCCAACATCCCAAGCAGACGCACGAGGCATTTGAAGGTCCCGGTTCAAGCTACCCTGTTGTGGCCGAAAGCACGGAAAGTACTCGTAAATCCACGCTCGTGAGACAAGTAGCAATCGAATCAGCACCTTTTCGTGATGCCGTGCCCAGTTGTCGATACAAGTAGGCCAGTGCAGTTGTTCCCCAAGCATACTCGTTAATAGGGACATCCATGTAACATAGCTCGTGGAGGAAGGAAGGATGCGTACGGTTACCACTCTTGTTTGCAAACAGTGTACCTCCAAGCACTAACCACAAGTATCCATTAAGCTGATCACTAAACTCCCCGGTCAACCGCCAATGTCGACTCGAAAATCTTATCAGTCAACACCCCACTACCCTGCCAAATGGTCTTTGTGCCGCAAATCTCAGACAGATCACCTGGAGTCATATCCATGGTGATCGAGCACGCGTCCCGTAACACGTCCGTGCTAGGAGTAGTGGTGACCATATTGCCTGTGACACGTAACCCAAGTATGTTGTACACGTCGTGCAACAAGATCGTAATCTCCCCAAATGGCATGTGAAAGGTGTTCGTATCTGGCTGCCACCTCTCAACAAAAGCAGAAATCAACGGCCAATCAAGTCTTTTAAACATCAGGCCGGGCAAGTGAGACAACCAACTAGCATCAATCGCCGCGAGGTCCTCCACAGATTGACGACCTCGCCAAGTGAACAAGTCAGAACATAACTTTGTCCTACTCAAACAGCGCAAAACACTACGCTCCTGCTCGATCCAGATATACCGTGCCACGTGACCGCCAAAACTAGGGATAACACTCATAACAGACCCATCCTCAGGCCCACCCGGCATTGGTTCCTGCACTAACTATGCCTCTGCAGAGCTGGTAGTAGGCTGACTTGATCCATTACCAACAAATCTCCCAAACTGACCCCTCTATACCATATGGTAATCCTGAGGGTCCTGTTCTTTATCCCGGTCACCAGCATGACTAGCCGAACATTCGTCTTCCTCGTCTAATATGGGTGCTCCACTTGCAGAGTACAAGGGCCGACTACTACCAGACTGTTGGTCTCCCGACCAACCACTAGTAGACCCGTATTGCTGCTGCTCGGGCTGAAGCGGTGCTGAACGAGATGTCTGTCTCCTAACAGACGCATTCAGACGTCGTGATATTGCATGTCGAGCACCAGAACCCTCGATCTACATAAAATAAGTACAAAATCCGATTTTAGTAATAATAATAATAATAATAATAATAATAATAATAATAATAATAATCAAAACAACAACACCAACAATCATAATCGTAATAACAACAATAAAAAAATTAAAATTAACAACAACAACAACAATAACCATAGAAGGCCAAGAATAACAACAACAACAACAACAACAACAACAACAAATAATAATAATACTAATCATATTTTTAAAAATAATAACACTACAAAATATGCTAACCATAATAATAATAATATCAACAATAATAATAACAATAATAATAATACTAACCATAACACTTCAAAATAACAACAAAAATAACAAAATCCAAAAAAAAAAAAAAAATTAACAACAACAACAATAACCATAATAACAATAATAATAAAAACCATAATATCAACAAAATAATAATACTAATCATATTTTTAAAAATAATAACACTACAAAATATACTAACCATAATAATAACAACAATAATAATAATATCAACAATAATAATAACAATAATAATAATACTAACCATAACACTTCAAAATAACAACAAAACAACAAAATCTAAAAAAAATAAATTAAATTAATAATAAAAAATTACAAAACCATATTATTAACGGGAAAAAAAAAAATTAAAATTTTTGGAACTTCCGCCCAAAAATTCCGGAAGTTCCAAGGAGGATCCGGAAATTCCAGGCGGGTCCTCTTTGGAACTTCTGGATTTTTTAGGCGGAAGTTCCACGTTCCGTAATTAAAAAAAAAAAAATCACCTGCTCGCCTCCATCGCCGCCGCCTCCGCCGCTGCCTCCACCGCCGCCAAAACTCCTCCCTCCGAACGTCAGCTTTATGCGCCTCGAATCACCCATCTTTTTTGTGTTTTTGATGATTGTTGTTTTTTTTTTAAAATGAACAAAAAAATTTGGAAGATTATTATTATTATTATTATTTTTTTTTTTTTTTTCAGATTTAGAGTGTTTTAGAGAGTTAGAGAGAGAAGTAAGAAAGTGAGAAATGTTGGTCGGGAAGTGGAAAAAACCGTATTTAAATGTCAGGGGTAAAATTGGAATTTCAAGTAAAAAGGGAGCGTTACCCGGTAAAATGGGAGCGACGAATAACAACACCCTTTAAAATTTTTCAATGTGGACTGGAAATTCACCCCACAAAAAAAAAAGAAAAAACAATTGATACGGAATATTTATAGTACTAGTTCTGTTAAATGTTATTCTGTGCAACTTTATAATATTACCACCTTCTGTTATGTCCATTTTAGCAATTACCACCTTCTATTTTTTTTTTTGAAAATTACCACCTTCTATTTTCAAAAACATCAAAATTTACCACCTTCTTGCCTCCCAACTACCACATGACGTCATTTTGGGCTTATTCTTTCCATTTCCTCCCTATTTCCCTCACATTTTTCATTCCTAACTCGATTCTCATCTCCCCTTTCACTTTTTTTCCCCCAAACAATTAAAAACACTTTAATTCACTCCTCCAAATCAAAATTGACGAACAATTATTGGTGGTTCGGGGGAAAAAAGTGAAAGGGGATATGAATCCACATAGGAATGAGAAATGTGAGGGAAATAGGGAGGGAAGGGAAAGAATGGTCCCAAAATGACGTCACGTGGTAGTTGGGGGGCAAGAAGGTGGTAACTTTTAATGTTTTTGAAAATAGAAGGTGGTAATTTTCAAAAAAAAAAAATAGAAGGTGGTAATTGCTAATATGGACATAACAGAAGGTGGTAATTGTCAAAATTTCCTATTCTATATCTCACAAATAATACAAAAAAAAAAAAAGGAAAAGAAAAGAAAAAAAGAGGCATAATTAAAATTACGTTTTAACCCGGTAATATTTTTTTTATGAAGTAATTAGACTAAATAGTTTCCGAGTTATTTTCTGATTTTTTTTAGCTTGCTTAATACTTTATGAGCTGCCTTCTCTACTCCTCTTATCTCTCCTTTTTCCCCTCTTTCAGCGTTTTAGATTTTGTGGTCGATTAAACAAAAAATAGTCTAATTTAACAATACAAAACTCTTCAACTTAAAAGTTATCTCATTTTCAAAATGGAGAGTGAGAAATAGATCAAGTGGTTAGAGCTTCTCTCTTGATTTCAGGAGATCATGAGATCGTTTCTCACCCCCCGCCCTTGTGGCTCTCTAAGCACCAAAAAAAAAAATCAAAATGTATTTTTTCGTATTATTTTATACACAATTAAAAGTTACATGAAACATTGTACATACACAATACAAAATACGTACTGTAGAAAGATTTATAAGGATACAGATCAAATTGAAGGCTGGCTTAACACATTCGATAAAAAAATTTCTAATTGCACTTACGTCGGATTATTTTGGGTCGGGTCAATCTATTGATAGTTCTTACACCTCCTTAACAAGTCCAACCCGACGGTGACTCGGATTATTGGGTCGGGTCTCACAATAATGTCTTAGGTCAGAACACAAACGGGTCGGATCCAATCCTACAAATCTACATTCACTACACTAAAACCCCAACTTTAAACCCTCAAACTCAAACCTTTCTCTTTCTCTTTCTCTTTCTTCAGCCGTTTTCCCCAAAATCTGAGAAGCTCAACAATGGAGTCAATTGCGCCGCCATTAAAGGTCTCAATTCAAGCAATCCAAAAAGCTGTTGATGCTCTCCTCAAATGGAAATCCTCTGTTTCCGATTCTGAAAAACCCCAACTCCTTCCTTCTGATGAATTTCTGTACTTAGTTCTAACCCTCAACAAAATCCCACCTAAAAACCGCATTAACGCCCACAAAATCGCTCTTCCAAACGCCCTTTACACCCCAGAAAGCTCCGAGTTTTGCCTCTTTGTTCATGATAGCGTGTCCAAAACCGCTAAATTGAAGGTTGAAGAAGGTGGGGTTCCAGTTTCCAAGGTGATTAAGCTCTCAAAGTTGAAGAAGGATTACAAAGCTTTTGAGCAGAAGAGGAAGCTTTGTGATTCATTTGACCTGTTTTTTGCTGATAAGAGGATTATCCCACTTTTACCCAATGCAATTGGGAAGCAATTTTACAAGAAGAAGAAGATTCCGGTGCCAATTGAGTTGGGTAGAGGTAATTGGAAGGAGCAGATTGAAAGGGTTTGTAGTTCTGCAATGTTGTATTTGAGTACTGGAACTTGCAGTGTGATTAAGGTTGCAAAAGGCTCGATGTCGAGGGATGAGATCGTTGCGAATGTGGTTGCGGCGGTTAATGGGGTTGCCGAGACAGTGCCGAAGAAATGGGGGAATGTGAGGGGTTTTCATTTGAAGTTTTCGGAATCATTGGCATTGCCGGTTTATCAGAAGGTGCCGGATTTGGGGCTTAAGATTAGTGGTTTGATTGCGGCAAAGGATGCAAATGGGGAAGAAAAGGCGGTCATTTCGAAGAAAAGGAAGGAGAAGTTGAAGGAGAAGGTGAGTAAGAAGAAGGGGAGGATTCATGAGGTGAGGTATATGGATAGTGTTGAGTCTGGTGGGATGGTAGGGGGAGATGAATCGGGGAGCGAAGTCGATGATGATGTTGAGGAGGAGGAGGTAATGCCGGTTGAGGATGTTGTAGTGAGTGGTGAGGAAGTTGCTGGAAAGAAGAGGAAGAAGAGAGATAAAAAGGAGGTGAAGAAAGTTGCAAAGTTGAAGAAAGGAGTCAAGGGTTTGAAGGAGAAGAAGGATAAGCTTTCGTCGAAATCATCAGAGAAGAAATCGAAGAAAATCAAGGTTTAGGTATAATAATTTACTATATTCTGCAAATTGATCATTCTGTTCTTGTTTATCAAATACTGATGATATCAAAGAGTTTTTAGCCTCAATTTTGATGTTCTGAGTGGGTTAGATAGGTTTTCTCTATATTTGCTGTCATGGTTTATGAGATTGGCATATGTTTTGGTTAATTTACAATGTTGTAACAGCTAAAAGAACAACTATATGAGGAATTCAAATTTTGTCAATCTAATCTTCAAGATTCAACTATTTACAGCTAAAAGAACAACTTAGCAGTTGATTGTAGCTTGCTATGTGTACATGAATACATTATACAATACTCCTTAGAAAGTTAGAATCATAACCTTGCTATGAAGTTGCACTAAATTAGTCAAGCTTTTTTACAAGTCTCTACGGGCTGTTCTCTTCAGCTTATTTTCATTTCATCTCCAATAATTTCAGTTCAGTTCTTAATTTTCTTCTCTCATAAAATATTCAATTCAGCTCCGCTCCAATAAGCTAAGCTCAGTTCAATCAATGAGAACAGACCCTAAGTCAGCCGAACCACTCTGGGCTTGTGCTGTGCTCTTATGCTGATGTTTTTTGGGATTTTGCTACTTTGGTAGTTTGAAATGAATTGCTTTGAGCAGGAAATATTGGTGAAAAGCTTAGCTACAACCACTCTGTGATCGTATACTGATGGTTTTTTTTTTTTTTTTTTTTTTTAATTTTTATTTTGGCAAGGAATTTACAGTCCAAAGTATAAAAAAAATACATACTACATAATTACAATTTACTGAAATATTGAAACTAAGAGGAATGCTATAGCTCTTTTAGGAAAATGAATTTAAAGATGCATCTATCAATGTTGACTAGCAAACCTCTGGTACAGTTTATGCACTGAATTTGACTGCACTTAACAACTCTTGGCTTCTTGATGCACCGAGGTTGTTGTTTGATAATTTGTTACATAACTGCACAAACAGAAAAAGTTTGTTAGTTCTATAATGCAGAAGCAATACACGGCAGAATATCTTGATAATACATAGGGAGATAGACATTGATCTGTCGATAAATTACAGAATCTCCACAAGTTTTTATCAGTTCAATGACAAATAGCGATGGACTAATCTCAAGAACCTGCAACATCATGGAAAGAAAGTGAGCAGGGATTGTTGGAAAATTTGTTTACTTGTTTCATATGCTTGACAGAAGCTATTTGTCCAGTAAGCAAGAATTATACTTCTGCTGTAACTAGAAGACTTCCTTAAAAGTTGGACCTCTGTGATCACTTATCCTTGCACCACTTCTAGCTGAAACAAACAAATTCGAAACTTAGGAAAAATACTTGTAAAATAAATTCAACCTGTAGACCAAATATGTGGCCATTCTGTTAGCTAAAGGATTTTGAGGGGTCACATTAAAAGGTTGTTAGAACTTACCCTCCTATTTTTTAATTTAATTTAATTAATTTATTTATTTTTTCTGTATTTAGTATCCTATTCCTGTTACGATATCCTCAATTCTCTCAAGCTACTCTATGTGCGAAAGATTGGAAGTGAATCTGATCTTCCTTTCGGAGACATCCTGCAAACAGTTAACAAGCAACCATTAGCTCCTATTTACTAAGTTTCTTTTGTATATACTGTCTTCACATCACAGTTATAATTAGGCTAGAGATTCATCAGTGTTCTCACCTCTTTCTCAAAAAATCCTGAAAGATCAAGGAATGATGACATTCCAGTTATAGCTGAAACGCATTGATTTGGTTAGGAAGGCCAGGACTTTTCGCTCCATCAGACTGATTTATAACAAGTTTAAATAACAAGCAGCAAGCTATTAGCATCTTTAATGGAAATGTACAGTAATATTTTATGGGAATGCAAATGAAAGAAAGGGATATCAGTCATTACTTCAACATTTATCAGATTGGCATGTTATGTTCAATTTTTGTTAAAAAAGAATTTGATTGAGGTAATATCAAGGTTGAAGTTATGATGTGAATATTAGCAGATTAGCTTATGGGTAGTGTTACATTAATATTCAAAGGTATGTTTTCAGTGTATCTTTTTTATAAAAATCTTCGTGTCTCTGGTCTTTCCGACGCAGCAGCAGTGGAAGGGGTGCGACTGTGCAAGTGTGCTAGGAGGGAAAAACTAATTACTCTGTAGTAACTATGTTAATTGAAATTTTGCGACATCTTGCTGGAATTGGATTGTAGATGACTCTTTGAATGTAACAAACATTTCTGTCAAAAATTTTCAAATCCTTTTTTCTTTCATTTCATTCTGAAAATACAGTTCTTTACTCCTATCATTTGAAGTTTTGAACCAGAAAGAACGTTAGTATTGAGTATAATATTTTAGCAACTGATGTATAGCACCCCCACACCTCACAGTCTGGTCCTTTATATAGTATATTACTGCTTGCGCAATTGTTCCAATATATGGTAACCGAATTTGCATCTGATTGTTGAAATAGAGCAGTGCAAACTGAAACGATGGCATCTGCAGTGATATGTTTTGATTAATGTATTTGAGCGTGTGTTGTAATATTCAGTTGAGTAATACTAACAGCAGTGAAGATTAAACGAATAAGTTGTATGGTGTAACACTGGAATATTGCCGGTTATAAAGTGAAGTGGTGAACTAATACTGCTTCATGACCCCTGATCCCCTTCAATTGATTGTTTGGAAAATTTCTGTTCTCTGATATATCTCTGACTTACTGCGAATCCTGCTGTGTCTTGCTAAGTTATAATTATTGGTCATATTAGCAGCTCTTAATAATCAAAATCTTGTAGTCCTTGTAATATTTACGTTTTGCTATGTGGATTTTCTGTCATTTATAATGTATTTATGCATCACCCTTAGTTGCTGACTTGCTGATGAAATGTCTGCACTACAGAAATGTGAACAAAACACACGACTTTATTATGACGAACAGGACATATTTGGGGAAACTCCCTGTGGTGTTTTACATTTTGGCCCCGTTTGGTTTAATGTAAAACATTTTCAATGGAAAACTAGTTTTCATGGAAAACATATTTTAAAGGAAAACACACAATTGCAAATTAGTTTTCCTTTGTTTGGTTGCATACAAGAAAAGTCCAAGAAAAATAAAAAATAAGAGTGGAAATGTAAGGATGAATGAGAGGGAAGTAAAAAAAGAGGTAAGGAAGAGAGAGGAAAATGTGGCTTCCCTTGTTTTTGGAAGGAAAATGTTTTCCATCATTAAAGGATGAAATTTTCCACCCTTGAAAATTGTTTTCCACTCCTTAACAAACCAAACAAAGGAAAATGAAAAAAAAATGGAAAATTTATTTTCCATAAAAACATTTTACATCAAACCAAACATGGCCTTTGTTCGTTCAACTCTTTGCATATGGCTACCTTCTTATGTTGTTTTCCATGATGGGCATTCGTTAATTATGAATGATAATTACCTGTTTCATCTTTAAGGTATAGGAACTATAGAATTAGCATTGTTGGTAATCCTAACTTAGTCTTCAACTAGATGAAGATGAATACAGGAGAAACCCAGATTTCAAATTGACATGGATATCACTCCGTATATGAAGTTGTATCGTGTGTGGGCATCATAGTGGTGTGTCATTGATCAGCTATTTTGCTTTAACATGCTTTTATCCTATCTGTGCGACGTGCAATTCATCTGGATTCGCCCGTGGCTGTGGCTTATGAACTATGGGCTATGAACTTTTTTGCTGTGTTGTTTGGTATTTGCATCAAGACTAGTTTAAACTCTATAGTACTAATTAGTAATTAGCAACTCCGACAACATTGCCATCTACCATCTTATAGACTTATAGGCAAGTGCGTGCTGATTTTTTCTATTGAATACTTTTTAGTTTTCTAAGTTTTATATGAGGTCTTGCCTAATTCTGAATTATGCTGATGAATTTTCAACATTGATTTTTCAACAAGCAATTTCATGCTTCATTCATATGCAACCATCCTGAAATCTCATACTCATATGACTTCTCTAAAGAAACGGGAAAGGAAGGGCAAACGAAAAAAGGCAGATGATTCACAGATTCAGATTAGAAAGCAGGAGGTTCACAGAATGTTGCTTCTTCCAAGAGAGTAATTTGCTAACTATCTGTGAAATTTGCTCCACCCCTTTGAATTATGTATACCTTATTTTGGTGAGCCTAAGCGAGATTGTTTTAATTGACATAGGGATAAAAATCAATTTAATTGTGTGTCGTGTTACAGGCTTACAATCTCCTGGTTTAAATTATCATTCGTTATTTTAGTAATTTCTTTTCGAGGATTTATCTATTGATCAACTTAATAGTCTTTTAACGCAACTAATCTAATTGAAATTGGATGTTGGTGTAGTGGTGATTGGGACTAGACTTGGTAGGGAGGACCTGTGTTCGATCTCCCACAACAATGATTGAGAGGGGAACGGAACCTAACAACTCAGAATTGATCTCCGAATCCGGATTAGCCCAAAGGGTGAACCGGGTGAAACACAAAAAAAAAAAAAAAAAAAAACTAATTGAAATTTCTTCCTGTACAAATACGTCGCAAATGTTGCACTTGTACTCATTATATGCACTTCAATTTGGCTGTTTTGGATCATCTATAGACTGTAACTGATGAAGACCCATGAATTGAAGCATCTAGGCCATCTGGCTTGGCATATTCTGTAGATGATTATAAACTTTTGCTATTTCTTGACAAATGTGAGAGTTTATACCGTCAATCTTATTCTATGAGTTGGGTCATTTTCATACTTGAATTCTTTAGAAACAGAAAGTCAAGAAACTAGCTTACAATCTTGACAACAACTCAACAAGGATCCATATATTTGAAAATTAGAGGATGCTTAAGTGAGGCAGCAGCCTAACTAACGTGTTTGAGTATTTGAAAAGTATATATTGAGATGAATCTAATATGATTTCATTTGATGAGAAAATTTTATTAGTCAAATTTTACATTAAATCAACAAAAATTTATTACCTTGAATCAACGGTGGAGAAGGCAGGGGAGTGAGACCTACCTATCGATATTAACATATTTTTAATCTTTAAACTCCCATTATTTCATTGAAATTGTTACAGTTTATTGTAACTACGCAAATATGAACATGGACATTTAAGACAAAAAATTTCTTTGTTGCCAAAAATAAGAAACATTTGTACTTCGTATTATTCTTGATTTTTTCTTACATTTTCTGATTGAAAAATAGAAAATGATTAGAAAATGTGAACATTTTTTTTTTACCGGACGACTTCAAAT